TATATATAAGTTGGAGTGAATATTTTGTATAATTGTCACTAAGTATATTCACTTAGAGGTTTATAGTAATGAATAGAGATAGTGCAGTGTCTTTTGTTTAATATAATGTGGGAGAAGTTTATATAGCTTCTCTCTATCTCTGCAGCTGTCAATAGGATGTTATTGAGGAGTTTGGGGTAGAGCACTATAGCGCAGATAATCATTTGTTTTAGACTTTATTATTATTCTCGGCTGTCCACAGGCCTTTATATATGTGAGCTGACTGATGCTGGCAGAACACTAAAAATGTACTGATTTTTAAAGCTGCCTGTTTGATTTGGAAAACCCATTAAGAGGCACCTTGCTAGTCTGGAACAGACCTGAGTTTAGTTAGTGGCTCGGATGAGCAGATGTTTTATTTGTTCTATGCTATGGACTTGCTGTACAAAGACCTTCTACAATGAAACGGTGTTTGTTTGCTGCCTTGCTGAATAAAAGTGCAGGACAAACCTAGCTGGAGCATTCATGGATGTTCCTGACCCAAGCATGGTTTATCAATACCAGGGGAGAGAGAGATCGAGAGAGAGATGGATTGAGAAAGAGAGAGTGTGTTCTGGAGGTCTCATAATCACTTGCCTGTTTATTCTCTAAGGTATTTGTAGCATGGGTATTGATTCAGTAAGAGTATATTGGTTTGTGGTTAGATAGGATTGTATATAACAAAGTCTTGGATTACTTACTTGTTTCCCTGTTGGTGAAGTCGCAGTGAGCATAGTAGCGGATCCAGCCCTTACTATATGCCATTTACACTGTGACAGAGTAATAAAACAACTGTCAATGTTCTATCTCGTATGACCATCTAATTGGGGCCTTACAATCCCCCCGAGGACCCAACCACCACTCTTCATGTCTGTGTATTTAATTGTGGTGGCCAGGCAGATCATTTTGTCTTGCACTATAATGAGTGGACAGCTTACGTGTGTATTTATCAAAGCCTGATGTCTGAAATTGGGAGAAAGATGAACTATAGCCTGTAGAATCCAGCCAGTAGTTTGCTTCTATTATCTAGACTAGAGTGCTATGAATAGACATCTGCCATTGTATTGGTTGTGAGTAAAGAATTGGGCACCCCAGTCAAAGAACATGTTTTGCTGATCTTAAACAGTAGCATAGCTTAGGCATTAAACAAATGTAGAGGGTCAGTCTACCAATACGTTATTTATGTGGAGTCTGGTGGGCCGAGTCAGTCCACCAATACGTTATTTATGTGGAGTCTGGTGGGCTGAGTCAGTCCATCAATATGTTATATATGTGGAGTCTGGTGGGCCGAGTCAGTCCACCTATACGTTATTTATGTGGAGTCTGGTGGGCTGAGTAAGTCCATCAATGCGTTATTTATGTGGAGTCTGGTGGGCCGTGTCAGTCCATCAATACGTTATTTATGTGGAGTCTGGTGGGCCGAGTCAGTCCACCAATATCTTATTTATGTGGAGTCTGGTGGGCCGTGTCAGTCCATCAATACGTTATTTATGTGTAGTCTGGTGGGCTGAGTAAGTCCATCAATACGTTATTCATGTGGAGTCTGGTGGGCTGAGTAAGTCCACCAATACGTTATTTATGTGTAGTCTGGTGGGCTCAGTAAGTCCGCCAATACGTTATTTATGTGTAGTCTGGTGGGCTGAGTCAGTCCGCCAATACGTTATTTATGTGAAGTCTGGTGGGCGGAGTCGCCTTCTAGCTTCCTATGTCCCGGCTGGCTACTTCAACATTGAGCTACACCTTCCATAGTTCCTAACACATGTCCTGTGGGTTTGGGTGCTCCTAATCAGCTTTGTGTGTTCCAGCATCTCTTGTTACATTCTCCATTATATAAAATAATGATATAAAATAAATGAGGGAGGGTAAGAGCCCCTCATAAAGGTCACAACAGGGGTGGAGACCTGGAAACTTTTCGGTGGAATGCTCTTTTAAAAATGACATAACTCTGCACACTATAGATCACTTGCTGTTTCTAATGATTTAATTTTCAGTCAGTAATAATTTATTGGTAGATGTCAAACATGCAGCTCATGCAAAACCAGACGAGGAATATTTCAAAACGTTTTTCACTGCAATGCAACGATGGTACCACAATGCTGGTAGCATTGGGGTGCCATTGAAATGTGCGTTAGCATGCTCTAAATATGTGGTAGCCATAAAACATTTAACAACGGTAAACACAGTTGGTGTCGGTGGGAGGAAGAATGACCCTGTGTTGGTATCAGTGGGTGGAAGAATGGCCTAAATTTAGTGTCAGTGGGAGGAACAATGGCTTAATGTTGGTGTCGGTGGAAGGAAGAATGGCCCTGTATTTGTGTCAGTGGGAGGACGAATGGCCCTGTGCTGGTGTCAGTGGGAGGAAGCATGACCCTGTGTTGGTGTCACAGGGTCAGTGGGCCATTCTTGCTCCCACTGACACCAACACAGGCTTAATGTTGGTGTCAGTGGGAGAAAGAGTATGCCTCATCGTTGGTATCAGTGGAAGGGATTGCCCATCTTTGATGGCAATGGAGAAAAAAATGCTATTGCTCCAGGATTGGTGTTCAATGGTTACATGAGGAGGTACTCAATGTCCTGTTCCAATGGAATATGTTGTAGATGATCTTGACACAGGAACTATGAAGGCCATCTCCCAGGATTCAGAACCAGGTCTGCAGAGCTGGCAGAGAGCTCTGAGTGTTGGCACCTCCTGCTACTCTGCAGGCCAGATCCAGAATCCAGGATAATTGACAACTATCAGGGTTATTCACAAAAGGGAGAAGGTGAGGAGAAGTGAACAATATAATACAACATCGCTGAACTGGAAAGTGAGCTGAATTGGAGAATTTTTCCAAATCAGCTACTTTGGCCTAGATTATTCACTTCTCCTGTCTTCTCCAAACTCTTCACCCTTTTGTGAATAACCCTGTATGTGTTCAGTATGCATGCTGGTTCAACACTGATACATTAGAAGACAACAAGGAATCTGCATCATTATTTTTAAGTAATTGTTATAGTAATAGCTCAGAATCTGTATTCACAAAAAAATCTCCTTAGTTTCCACTTAATAAAGACTTGGTATCATTACATGTCCGTGTTTTGACTGGAATTTCACCCCCAAGTCACACTTTGCTGTTCCTGCTCCAGGCTATCTTCTAATAATCATGTGACGAGGCTATCCGTGTAGAGGTCATATGTATGGATTACCAGCTGTTCTCCTATCTGATGTCTCTATTTATGATGTCACTTCCTGTGACGGAGGCGACGTGTCTGAACCTGATGCTAGACACCAGTTGCTCTTGGCTGTTCTCGGTCTTTACCTGAGAATTATCAAACAGATGTTCTCATTCCCTTACACCACTTTTTCAAAGTCTTAACAATGTACCAAAATTAAAATGGTTTCATCTCATGGTGACTTTGTTGCCTATAGTAACCATATTTCACCTAGTATTCTTCCAAGGATCTATACACTCTGCTATGAGCAACACAGCCCTTGTTTCAAACAAAAGTCACACACAAGGATAAAATGATAACCACATACCCCTGGTTATAACTGGGGCTGCCAAGATGGGTCTATTGGTATGCACGGTTGTCCAGTCATATCAACCAATTTAATATCGACATGTTAAACCCCATTTCTCAGTTTTCAGTTCTGTGAAAGTTTGACTGACTATTACTCTGTCACACAACACTATAGCTAAATTAATTGTATACCATTTTTGAGACATATTGAGCTTTTTTGTTTTGGTGGAATTTAATTTAAGCTTTTTATTTATTTATTTTTAATACAGAACGTATAAAAAGTAAAAAAAAAAAATGAAAAACTTCCCTTGCTTTGTATTTTAAATCATATCAAATAAAAATGTCAGGACAGTACAAAACCCCCAAATTACCCCATTTTAGAAAGTAGATACTCCAAGGTGATCTGAATTTTATCTCAATTTCTTGAAAATTAAGGTTTATTGAATATAGTTTCTCAGGAGTCTCTCCACAGCCTGCATTGGCTAATAATAGAATAATATAATGGAATAGGTTGCAGCTTCTAAACTGCATGTTATTACAATATAATTTATATATATTTGTGTGTGCGTATTATTGCTAAACTTTTGGTATGTAAATGTATCGGCCTGATATACTGTCTCCAACAGTTTATATCACAGATATATTTCTATGATATTATTGTATTTATGGCCATGATAGTACAGATTGCAGTTTAGGGTTTATGTTAGTTGTTAGGTTCAATTTAAAGGAGAATTATGAGGTGAGTGATTTTTACTCAGCCTCATAATCTGAGACTGTCACAGGTCGGCTCAGTAAATCGAGCTGTAGCTCGCGGTATACTGAGCTTTGGGTGACGGGAGGACGCTAGTTTGTGTCCTTCCGTTACCCTTAGGAGAACTATGGGGAAAAGCCCTGACCCCATAGTTCTCTTTTAAGAGTAGACACATATATACCTAATGGGTACAGGATAAAGGTATAGCCACCCAAAGCAAAAAAATCAAGGGTAACTGTGTAACTAGTAACAGAAATGTATCTTATTTGTGTATCACTAGGCTGTAGATCCTCAAATCATCTCTGAATTGGTGCTGACACTGTCCTTCCTTCTGGAAGGGGGCTACTTTTGTTCCCCATGGTCCCTGTGTGTGTTGTAAAGTAGTCACCGCTCCAAGCTCGCTCCTGTGATGGACTACAATCTCGCGCTTAGTTTTGTCATTTGTATTGAGACTGTAGTCCATCACGGGAGCGAGAAGCTCGCAGTGTGCAGTGAAATCAGAGGAAGCAATTTAATTCCAGTAGAGGAGCCGGTACAACTGTGCAAGACTGAAGGGAAGGCCGGGGGTCAGCTTTAATAGTCCCCCAGATTGCTCTCTAACCATCCTCATTGATAGTTCCTTCCTCCTTGACATATCTCTGCTGCAGCACGTTGTAATCTTTGAAGAAAAGCCTGGGGGTTGCTGTGGGCCGTGTACATTAATAAGTCCCTCTCTGGTGTTGTGTCACAGGTTCACCGCAGTAGACATTATGACGGATGGTGACTATGATTATCTGATTAAGCTCCTGGCACTTGGAGATTCTGGTGTTGGAAAGACGACGTTTCTCTACAGATACACAGATAACAAGTTCAATCCTAAATTTATCACAACGGTCGGGATCGACTTCCGGGAAAAGAGAGTGGTGAGTTACCTTTCATTTCCTTGGAATTGTATCGGTAGATAATGTGAGTTTTAAAAACCAAACTGACAACCAATTGAATTCTTCCAATGGAATGAGGTTGATTAAAACAGTAAATACACTTTGGGTTTTAGTCATACTCCGGGCTGATGCTGTTGCCCTAGATCAGGGGTGGGGAACCTCCGGCTCTCCAGCTGTGGTGAAACTGCAAATCCCATGCCCTAGATGGTGCTGAGGGGGAATATTTATGATCGTCAGTGCCATCTAGAAGTGCTAGTGCCATGGGAACACTTTTATAGATAAAACCCTCTATTACTTTCTAATAGTGGAATGAGGTTAATTAGAAGTGTAAATACTAGGGATGCACCGAAATTTCGGCTAAAAATGATACTATGGGCAAAATGCTGATAGTACCAAAACGGCTAAAAGTGCGGTGCTTCCCTCCTCCTCTCTGGGCACTGGTCTGTGTGGCAGCGGGGATCGGAGGGAACACAGAGCCAATACAGCTGCCATCGCCCAGCGGGAGGAGAGAAGTCGTCAGGAGGCTGAGCTGGGTGGTGCGGGGAGAAGAGAAGCTGTCAGGAGGCTGAGCTGGGTGGTGCGGGGAGGAGACAGCTGTCAGGAGGCTAAGCTGGGTGGTGCGGGGAGGAGAGAGTTGTCAGGAGGCTAAGCTGGGTGGTGCGGGGAGGAGACAGCTTTCAGGAGGCTAAGCGGGGTGGTGTGGGAGGAGAGCTCGGTCTCCTGTGACAGGCAGAGCAGTCAGGATGAAGAGCAAAGCACAAACACTCAGTGATCAGTACTGATTGCTGAGTGTTTGTAGATAACTGAGGGAGCTAACTATGTCCCCAGTTATGAATGAACAGGAAGTGCTATACATCACTTCCTGTTCATTCATGATTGTGGACATTGTAACTGTATCAACACAGTTAATGAATGGATAGGAGCACTCAGTACAGAGGCTTCCTGTTCATTTATAACAGAGGCTGCAGAAAAAGAGATTCAGGACTTCTGTGTCCTAGAACTCTTTTTCCAATTTAAAAGGGAAATATCAGGGATCTGTTTAGACCCCCAATATTTTCCCAGAGCCCCCAACAGTAAAGTCAAAAAACAAATAAAATAAAAATAAAATAATTTAAAAACAATTTAATTTTTTTTTTTAAAAGGTTGCATAACAAAGTCATTTTCGGTTTTGCTCTAAAAATTCCGGTGCATCCCTAGTAAATACACTTTGGGTTTCATTTCCAAACCAGGCTGTTGCTGTTCCCCTCGATGGCGCTAGGTAATATAGACATTTACTATGCTTGGCAGTGCCATCTAGGGGTGTTAGTGCCCTGCAAACCCTTTTGTCTATTCAATTTCCTAAGTCGGCATACCTGATATGGATATTAGCTTACTGTCACCGTCCACGTTCCTGCGCTGTCTGCCTTCCCTGCGGAACTCGTTCCCTTGGATTGACCTTCTGTGTCCTGACCCCGGATCCATCTCTCAGATTCGCTCATCTTCCGCCTGCCCTGATCTTTGGCCTTTTGACATCACCGCACTTGTAGTCTGTTGACACGTCCTCCCTTCCATGTTACTGAATGTCCATACAGAGTTACAGTCAGACATGGATGGCAGGAAGAGTCTGCAGGAGCCAGAGCATTGCACCCGGCATCTACTAAACAAAGGCTTACTGGCTCCGATGCAAAACAATAATGAATGCACGTTTCTCATTTTATGAAGAAGTGTGAAATTAAATGATTATTATCTTTGAAAAGGTGGAATTTCCCTTTAAGTCCTTTTGCAGACCTACATGACTGCTGGGGGAATAACTGTTGTGGAGAAGCAGAAAAGTGTATCATGCTTCCTTTGATATATATTTGATCTCTACTGATATGATATCTTTCAGATTTATAACAATGCCAGTCCAGGCAGCACACACGGGAAAACCTTCAAGGTCCATCTACAGCTCTGGGACACAGCTGGACAAGAAAGGTAAGTTGTAGGACGTGAAGGTATTTTATTTTCAGGTAAAGAGTTCTTTAAATTGGATCTTGCATTTCACCTTAACATGTGTTGCATTACGGTAGCCCATTCGTTTGAATGTGTTGCCTAAAGCACCAAAACGCACCGAAAATAATTTGTTCTAATGCAGTGCGTTAGTGCATGTGTTGTGGTGTGCTGCAACATACATCTGTTGGCAAAGTATGTTGGGGTACCAGCCTCACCAACACGCATAACAAGTGTTGCTGTGCTTTTCGGTAACATGCCTGGTAGAGCAGCACGATGGTGTGAACGGGACCTTCATGTTTTCAGTTTTTGAAGGGTTGGGAGGCTAGATAATAAACATTCATATAAGGCCTGCTTCACACGCAGTAAGTGAGCTACAACATACACCGTCACTGACCTCTGTAGCTGCAGGCACTACAGAGCAATTCATCTTCAAAGTCCACAACAGAAGTACGGGATTCATCAAAGTCATTCCACCAGCAGCCCAATTTCCCCTGCTCCCCTCCCAGCAGTGACTCAGAAGCTCAGATTCCCCTGCTCCCCTCCCAGCAGTGACTCAGAAGCTCAGATTCCCCTGCTCCCCTCCCAGCAGTGACTCAGAAGCTCAGCTTCACCTGCTTTCCTAACAGCAGTGACTCAACAGCTCAGCTTCCCCTGCTCTCCTCCCAGCAGTGACTCAGAAGCTCAGATTCCCCTACTCCCCTCCCAGCAGTGACTCAGCAGCTCAGATTCCCCTGCTCTCCTCCCAGCAGTGACTCAGAAGCTCAGCTTCCCCTGCTTTCCTCCCAGCAGTGACTCAGCAGCTCAGCTTCCCCTACTCCCCTCACAGCAGCGACTCAGCAGCTCAGCTTCCCCTACTCCCCTCCCAGCAGTGACTCAGCAGCTCAGCTTCCCCTACTCCCCTCCCAGCAGTGACTCAGCAGCTCAGCTTCCCCTACTCCCCTCCCAGCAGTGACTCAGACTCAGCAGCTCAGCTCCCCCTCCCCCCCTCCCAGCAGTGACTCAGCAGCTCAGCTTCTCCTACTCCCCTCCCAGCAGCGACTCAGCAGGTCAGCTTCCCTTACTCCCCTCCCAGCAGCAACTCAGCAGTTCAGCTTCCCCTCCCAGCAGTGACTCACCAGCTCAGCTTCCCCTACTCCCCTCCCGGCAGCGACTCAGCAGCTCAGCTTCCCCTACTCCCCTCCCAGCAGTGATTCAGCAGCTCAGCTTCCCCTGCTCCCCTCCCAGCAGTGACTCAGCAGCTCAGCTTCCCCTACTCCCCTCCCAGCAGTGACTCAGCAGCTCAGCTTCCCCTGCTCCCCTCCCAGCAGTGACTCAGCAGCTCAGCTTCCCCTGCTCCCCTCCCAGCAGTGACTCAGCAGCTCAGCTTCTCCTACTCCCCTGAATCTGAATGGTTACGATAAGTTTCCCGGTTTTTGTCTCCTCATTGCCCCTTGTGTTGCCCTATTATATGAACATGCTGATGTATGCAGAGCCATCCCTATAATTAGGCAGTGGCCTCACACGGCATCTCATTGTGTCACATGGTTTGGAGCCAGAGTGTCCCAGGTTGCTAAGAGCTCTTAGCAACCTGTGACGCTCTGGCCGGCGTCCAACCCAGCTCACTGATGTCACTGGCTGGGACACCGGCCAGAGCATCCCGCTCAGCTCCTAGCAACCAGTGACATCAGTGAGCTGGACGGGACGCCAGACAGAGGTACCGTGCACATACGCCACAACCCAGCCCCCCCTCCCCCCCCCTTCAGGGTGTTTCTATGTCAGGTAATTATTAATTGGTCGTTCTTTACCTGTCTGCAGGTTCCGGAGTCTCACCACGGCCTTCTTCAGAGACGCCATGGGGTTCCTATTAATGTTTGACCTCACCAGTCAGCAGAGTTTTCTCAATGTCCGAAACTGGATGAGTAAGTACTAAACCCTATAAATCCTCTGCGCTTATTGTACCTACAGAGGTCTGATGGGAAGGCACAGCAACAGCAACATTTGTAAAGAGAACCTGTATGGACAATAATATGGGAGCTGGAACTAGAAGTGAACCTGTCAGTAAAAATCCCACTACATATGAATGGATTAGGCATTTGTTAGCATACCATTTTTTTCCCATCTTATCAGGACTGATCCCTTGCAGTCCCTTTGCAGCCACTTCCTGTTTCCAGCCACTTATTGTACTGCAGCAATGACTGCATGGCATTTGTCAGGATGGGGGGTTCCTGATGATGACAACAGTTGGCCGTGTCGGGGTAATGTGTGTCGAAACAGCCACATGTAGCCCCCATTGGAAGTCCATGTGACAGGGCAGGTGCACACATGGGAGGCAGGGACAAATCCTTGTCACGGTAGGAAGTGCCTATAAAGGACCTTTATGGCAGGATCACCAGGTATCTTCATCAGTAAAAGTTCCACTACACATGAATGAATTGAGCATTCGTTTCCCTACAATTTTTTTCCATCCTATTGGTGTTGATCTCCAGCAGTCTCTCTGCAGCCACTTCCTGTCTACATGCACTCCAGTGACAACTGCATGGCATGCTTTACTGGCTACAATGCAGAAAAAAATAATACATTATTATACAGGATTTATATAGCGCCAACAGTTAGCGCAGCGCTGTACAATATAAGGAAGACATTACAATCGCAATACAATTCAAGACGAGATGGTAAGGAGGGCCCTGTCCCTGAGGGCTTACAATGTAAAAGGGAGGGACCGGTGATACATGAGGAGGTGCACATTGTTCCTTTTATGAAGACGTGGGCATTTTTTTTTTTTAAAGGGTGGAATTTCCCTTTAAATCCTTGTGTTGACGAAGTTGACCTGTTATAGGATGACAGCACTCTGTCCCGGTATCTGATTGTGTTCTGGTGTTGTCACCCTGTCATATGGGCTTCTGATGGAGACTGTAATTGGCCATTTCAGCATACATTACACAGGAATGTTCCACTGTTATCACTAGAGATGAGCTTGGGCTTAGTGAGAGCCCAGTCCGACCAAGTTCCTGAATCCTGCCTGCGGGAAATCCGGCCCTGCATGCCAGTCATCACTGGGGTGCATGTAGGCAGGAAGTGGCTTCAAAGAGACTTCAGGAGATCAGCAGCACTGACACAGGATGAAAAAGGTGAAAATAGGTTATTAAAGAGAAACCCGACAGTTGTTTACAATAAAAACATCATTCAGTCAGCGCTTACATCTACCTAATATCCAGTTGTCACGCACATTCTGATCCTTCTCCCCTTTTTTTCAGGTCAGCTCCAAGCGAATGCTTACTGTGAGAATCCAGATATTGTTTTAATTGGTAACAAAGCCGACCTGTCAGATCAACGGGAGGTCAACGAGCGGCAAGCAAAAGAGCTTGCTGATAAATACGGGTGAGTCATGTCAATAAACCAATTTTAGTGGGCTAGTCCATTCTTGGGGGGGAGGGGGGGGGGGGGTAACTGATAGGTAGAAGAAACCCGTGACCTATTCAGTCCACCAGGTCCCACCCATAGGGGAAATATTAGTTCTGGTCAGAGTGACTCTCTTTAAAATGGTCAGAAGGAATGCCATGTAATTGTGACCTCTGTGCCAGGAAGCGGGAACATCAAGTTGTGTGCTCATACACAGCACCCCGTACGATGCTGGTACAAATTCTCCAATACCAAAAACTGATACCGCCGCTTTAAATATTCAAATTAAAGTGGCTGCCTTAGGTCCCATGCTTCCTGGGGACCTTGCGGCAGCCTTCTTGGGAACTACTCGGCTCCTGTTTACAGTGCTTCCACGACCTGCACATTTCCCCCTCCTGAGACCCTTCACACATCTCCCCCTCCTAGGACCCTCCGCACATCTCACCCTCCTAAGACCCTCTGCCTGGAGACATCAGGCCGGCACCCCAGAGCAGAGTGGCAGCAGAGTATGTAGCAAAACATATACTATTTTTATGCATTGCTGTATAATGTATTGCTGGGATTTGTACTTCTCTATAGCTGATGTTATTTTTCTGCATTGCTGTATAATATATTGCTGGGATTTGTAGTCCTCTATAACTGAATGTCCTGAGTTGTGCACATTAAGGAGCTCAGTAACAGCAGTGTTGTCATATAGATACCAGAACAGCAACCGTCTGTTTCAGGTTGCGTGCGTTCTCCCCAGGGCTGTGTGTGGGTTTCACCAGGGCTGTGCGGTCTCGCCATGGCTGCATGCGGGTCTCACCAGGGCTGTGCGGTCTCGCCATGGCTGCATGCGGGTCTCACCAGGGCTGTGCGGTCTCGCCATGGCTGCATGCGGGTCTCACCAGGGCTATGCAGTCTCGCCATGGTTGCATGCGGGTGGGTGCAGTCTCACCAGGGCTGCGTGCGGGTCCCACCAGAGCTGCGTGCGGGTCTCACCAGGGATGCGCGCGGGTCTCACCAGGGATGCATGCGGGTCTCACCAGGGCTATGTGGTCTCCCCAGGGCTGTGTATGATCTCACCAGGACTGCATTTGGGTTTCACCAGGGCTGTGTACGGTCTCACCAGGGCAGTGTGTGATCTCACCAGGGCTACTTTATAAGCCCGATCAGTTCTCATGAATTGTTAATAATTGCTATAATAATAATATGTTGTTGTTTCTCCATAACAGCATTCCGTACTTTGAAACAAGTGCAGCGACCGGACAGAACGTGGAGAAGTCGGTGGAGACCCTGCTGGACTTGATTATGAAAAGAATGGAGCAATGCGTGGACAAGACCCAAGTCCCAGACGCGGTGAACGGAGGAAACTCGGGGAAATTAGACGACACAAAAGCAGAGAAGAAGTGTGCCTGTTAAATATATTCCTAGAAAATTATCTGTACAGACTGATGATCTGATCCAACTCTGGTGGAATGGCTGACACACCACCACAGTGCCCCCTTGTGGCCAGTCTCTACTCTGCAGCCATTCGTAGCTTCATATTGTGCTCCTCCGGGAGCCCTCTTCCCCCATCGTTATGGTAGACGCCAACATCTCTTGTGAAGAAAGTGTTAATCTTATATATTTATATGCAGCATAAATGAGAGACAAAAAAATATACGTTTCTTACAGAAATAAGTGGTGACTGTGGTATAAAAAGGGGATTTTTTTTGTTTGTTTTTGGTTCAGAATCATCTGTCATAGATTTTAGGCCGGATCGGGTACGCGAGTAACTAAAAATTGCATTGTAAGCACGCCGACAAATTGTGCGACACGGGCTTTTCGACCTTGTACTGTTTACATTTCTTTCCATTTCAGGACCCTCCCGTTCTTTATATCTGGACGACGCGGCATTTATGTGTCTCCTATATGTTTGTGAATGAATCTGAAGTATTTTAGTAATGTGTTTTCGCTTGGTGCCTAATGTTTTTTGCTATTATGACCATTTTTCGTGTTGGGGTCAGGGATGTAGAAAAGGACGAGTTTTAAATGTTGGCCAGAACGGTTCTGTATTGAGATGAATGACGAGGTGAAATATATATTAGTTGCATTAAAACGGCTCCGAAGCTTGAGCTCTTGGTGCCTGTAAACAAGTGGTTGTCAACTTACAACGAATGGGGGGCTTCAAATGTGGCCCCTGAAGTCCCCTAAGGGTGGCCTAAAATATTTATTATATGTAATGCTACAGAAGACTGTCATAGACTGGAAATGGTCAGAGACTGTTCTCAGTGGCATCACTGGGGGGGGGTGTAGCTGAATTAACACGTTAAAGCTAATATGACTTTTATTGATTGGGTTTAGATCAAAGTCAAGTCACGTGCATAGACTGGTGTACTTTATATGCCGGGTCAGTGGCGTCACAAGGGGGGTGACCCAGGTCACACCATTGGAGGGGTGACACCAAAATGACTGATTACCATGCACTTGGTAATGGACCGAGAGCACGACAGCTGCAGGATAGAGAGGGGCGGACCCACCGGCATACCTTATCCCGCCGGGTGAACATCCCCTCCTCTCTCTGTTGGCGTCCATCACCAAGATGGCCGTCGGCAGGTATCAAAAAGATGACCGCGCATGCGCGATGACGTCACGCAGTATCCGCCCGGGGTTGCACCTGGCCTTGGGACGCCCCTGGGCCGGGTAATTATTATTCCAATACTGGTTACAAAAATGTTTATTGAAAGAAAAGGGAGAATCTGATTGGGTGTTACTGAGCAACCCAGTAATCCTTTGTTCTTTCACCAATGTCTTGTCTTCCTCTGGAGACATATTTGAGGTCCCCTTTACTTTCCAGTAAGCACCATGATAGTGCCAAGTAAAGGTCCCTGTGATATGAAATCTCTTGTTCTGTTGCGGATTATACTTTAGAAATGTCTTATCCTGATTTCTTTTCCACTCGGTTGTCATTTCGCTCTCTGCAATGGTTTTGTTTTGATTGAAAGCTTTAATGCCGATGTATCCAGCGCCGGATTTACTCTCTCTGCTTCACCAAGGCCAGGTTCCTTAATGCACCCCTTGAAGCAGGGCTACATGTAGAAAACAACTACCCGCCTGGCGCCCGGAACTGCATGTCCTGGGTGTTGGGAGATAGGAATTCCACACCCCTGCTGCCCCTCTACTCCTTGCTGTCCCAAGGTCGGGCCTTGGTTGGCCTTGTGGGAAATCCGGCCCTGGATATATCTATCTATATATCTCACCTATAAAGGTCTTGTAGAGAGATGCAAAGTGTGACGATAGGCCCTCAGAAATAAACAGGGTGCTAATATTGTAAAGCTTCTATTTTTGTGACAATATATATAAATATATGGTGTACGTGTCTAATCTCCTCCATGTGTGTCTGACTCAGAATAGGTGACCATTTCTGGCCGTTAAAGAGAAACAGACTGGACCAGACTTATGCAAGAATCATAATACTCAGTCTGAAAGTGAATCCAACCTCTGATATATTTTTCGCTCCATAAGACGTACTTTTTTCCCCCAAAAGGCGGGGGAAATGTGCCTGCGTCTTATGAAGCGAATACCTATCGCCCGACGCCGGGGACATGCAGTTTTGGGCGCCGTGGGTGAGTAGTTTTTTTGTACACTCAGCCCTGCTCCTGAAAAGCAGAGCTGAATGTACAGTGGTAGCCGCTGCTCGTTTAATACAAGGGATCTAATTAGACTACTTGTATTAAAAGAGCTGCGGCGGCGATCGTGTCCGCCCCTCCCACCGTGGTTTTCGGGGTCCCTCACTCCTCTGGGGGACCGTAACCACGGCATAGAAGCTCACCATAGAGCCCCTTGAGCAGTCTTCGTCTGCTCTGTGTGATTACTGAGACAGTGGCGCTGTAATCACAGCGCCACCTGTCTCAGCGGTCACTAACTGCAGCTTCTGTCACAGAATCCCTGCGTCCTATGGTCCGGAGCGCCTTATAGAGCGCAATATACGGTACATACATGACAAATAACATGTAACACTTCCAGGAATGTATTACCCCTCATTGAGGTCACAGTACTGACTTCATCTGCTTTTCTCTCCAGAAGGACTCACCATCTTTGTTCAGGTATCATCCAGGGTCACCATCTACTTCCTAGACTAATATATCGGCACAGGGATTATACAATCATGGAAATCCTGGTCCCTGTGCAGTTCTTGGCTGTGGACACGTTCATCAGCTCCTGCTGCAGTGGTGTGCAGGAATTTGAGTGGCCTGCACAGACCTCAAGCCTACTGATTATCTTTGTAATGAACTGGAATGTTGATTGCTAGCCAGGTCTTCTAATCCAACGTCAGTACCTGAGCACACAAATTCTGTTTTGGCTGAATGGGCACAAATTCCCACTGACGCCCTCCAAAATCTTGTGGAAAGCCTTCTCAGAAGAGTGGAGGCTGTTATAGCTGGCAAGGGAAGGAGTGTGTCAACTCCATGTTGTTACTCATACTTCTGGAATGGGTTGCCCAACAAGCTTATATAGGTGTGATGGTCAGGTGTCTTCTCAGTGAGACAGGTCTTCTCATCCAACATCAGTACCTGACCTCACGAATGCTCTTTTGGTTGAATGGGCACAAATTCCTACAGACACCCTCTAAAATCTTGTGCTAAGCCTTCCCAGAAGAGTGGAGGCTGGCCACAGGGCGATATAGGTAACTCCAGATGAAGAGGAATGTCTAACAAGCTCACATAGGTGTGATTGTTAGGTGTCCACAAATGTTTGGCTGTATAGTGTATAATAATTTACTGAAGGTGGAACTAAACCCACAGTTCTAATCAGGGCAAGCCTCTGGTGATTACTGTCACAGGTAACACTGTGCTTATGTCTGTCCTCAAATTAACTCTCCCGCCCTCAAACAGCGGGTGTCATAGCTCATCACGTGCCACACTACAGTTTTAAATAGAGGTCAAGATGGCACCGTCTTCAGCTGTAAAGGATAGGAGGGTTTGGTTCCGCTTAAAGAATAAGTGCACTTTTAGACAAAGTGCACTTATTCTTTTTGCCCCCCTCCCCTGACCTAAACAATCCCACTCTCCCCCTTCACAGATCTGTACTTACCTGAGGGTAGCAGAAGAAACAAAAATGGGAGGGGAAGTGTCCCAGCCAAGCAAAAACCTATGACAGGGTGGACGTCCACTTACTTGGCTTGGCTGTGGCGCTTCCCCTCCCAGTTTGGCTTCTTCTGCTACACTAGCCGGACACCCCGGACCACACTAACAGGAAGCAGCACGCCAATCAATACTTATTTCCCCCACGCTGCTCACCGCCCTTTCCTCCCCCCTCCCCAGAGAGCGCTGTTCTATTGGACTGCTCCTCTAACATTTACTTACCGGAGAGTCACTGCTCAGCTGTTTGTTGACATCCAGCACTACAAGTCTCCCTTTCCCAGCCATGTCCATCTCCCGGCTGGAGAAAGAAGTCTATGGGGCTGTGATGTGCAGGTGCGGCCAGCAGAGGGAGCATTGCAGTGCTTGATGTAAACAACAGAACTGTGCCCACCAGATCTCGGTAATTACAGATCTACAAAGGGGAGCGGAGGATCATTTAGGTTGGGTAGTTGGAGGCAAAAAGAATGGGTGTACTTATCCTCTAAAGCTAATTTCAGAAGGCTTAATCACTAACCTAAGGCACTTTTTTTTCAGCCAGATGACTTTAACTTTCAAATTTCATTGCATTCCACAGAAAATAAGGATTCTTGTCCTGGTGTGTGAGCTTTAGGAACTTAGCTTTCAATATTCAGATTCTTGCATCAGCACAAGTGGGACTGCTTCTCTCTAATGGCTCTTTTTTTTAATCCTTTTGCAATTTGTTACAGTGCCAATTCTTTCCTGAGATGAATGACTTCTGTATATTTGTTGCTTAAACACAGATTTCCATGGACTTTGAAACGTGAAATATGTTGTTTTTTTTCTGTTTTCTGTCTTTGCCAAATGATATTCCTTCAGACGGTGTATCTGTAGAGGGCTCGTTCTATATCCTATAAGGTGTCATGTGTTTCTTTTAAGAAAAAAAATCATTTTAAAGGTATTTTTGTAGCTTGAATGAGGGTTTCATTCTAATTCAAAATCCGGATATTGTTTTCAAACAAGAAACCGCTGAAATCTCTCATAACTAATTAAAGTGTATCTAAAACCAAAACGTTTATTCATTTTATGGGGTTTAGGAAGATTATTCGTCTGCCCAGGAAAATCCCTGCTTAGACACTTGCCATCAGAAAATTGGTGTCCCTACTGTTGAATTTCCCCTCTGTTCTTGGTTTGGTGACAACTGGGGAGTTTTTGATGTTTGATGGCTTTCTGTCCTGGTGACAAATAAATTGGGTGAGTCACCCCCACATGGTCAGCACTAAAAATGGTTTAAAATGTTCACACTTCACTTTGGCTTTAGATACCCTTTAATATGTTTATCTCCTGGCCATGCTCTGGGTAGGGGAATTAGCATGCAGCCTTGCTACCCTCACCAAATGTGTCCACCTCTCACTGTATCATGGTGATCAAAAACAAAGCGTATACAAAGTCATAGTCAGGGCCTTCTATATAATGAGGCAGCCGGGAGCTGTTGCCTCAGGCGGCATCTCTTTGGGTCACGTGGAGGGGGCCCTTTCCGGCCAGAGTGTCCAAGGCTGCTAAGAGTTGGGTGGGTAGATTTATGAGGGCCATACACAACTCCGTGCCCAGCTCTCTAGCAACCTTGGATGCTCTGCCCGGCATCCCGTCCAGCTCCTTGCAACCAGTGACGTCAGTGAGCTGGGTGGGATCCAGGCCAAAGCTGGAGCCAGAGCTCCATTAGTGCACCACAAGCACAACAACCCTCCACGAAACGTGCACCCATCCACCCTGCCACAGGCGACTAAAGGCCATGTTCATAGTGGCTAAAATTGTAATCCTTGGCTCAAGCCAACACAACTACAATAGAAGGAGTTTCATTTTTACACATAGTAGTTAAAATTCAGAGAGTCTGAAGAAAAAACACAAAAAAAACCTTGGCAAAGCACCATGTCGATGAGGACAAGGGCCTCTTCTTTTTTTCACGGTGT